CCCCCGTCCCTTCCGCCATTTCTTATAGGCCTAGGCGCCAAAATCCCGCGTCATAATGCATGAGACAGACGACACAATAACAGGAAGAAGACCTCCGAGCTATGAAAAGTGCGAGCGCAGATTTAGCAAGGACCCTTCACTTCACTCGCCCGTGGAGGACAGATTTCTTAGAGAATCCACGGCAGAGGTGTTGAAATTTCTGTCTGAGTCTGTCCCCAGTTTTTGTTGTACCCGGAGCGCTCAATACGAAACGCATTCCTCGCTCGGGTGGTTTTGAGTCGGGAGGTTATATTGAAATTTTTTCATTTTACCGTATCATTCTTTAGTTTGTGTCTCGCAAAAGAATGTGCTGCGTTCAGACTGGTTGAGATATTATAGGTGGTACATGTATACAAACGCATAAATGGCAATATGGCTAGACTTATGATCCACGTCATTGGACCCAAAAGGCCATAGAGTTATTGTTTCTTTTTCTTAAGGAATGTGTGTTCGTGATCGGTATGCTAGCTTCCTTTTTTAGCAGAACCTCCCTCTTTCTTTCTTTCTTTCCTTCTCTCTTTCTACTTCTATCTTTGTCTAGATCTATCTGTCGATCTTTCTTTCTCTTCCTACACCTCTCCTCATCTTTCTCTCTTTATCTGTAAGCTGTCTGTATTATTTTCATTTTTGCTTTTGTATTCATTTATCTATCTTTATCCGCTACTTTTCAATCAATTTGCCATGTAATCACCCTAAATCAATATTCACTAACGACAAAACTGTTAGCCTCACTGCCATAAACCCCACTGGAGTTCTTTGTATCAACCGCTGGTACGCCGTGGCAGAAGTCTATACAGGGCTTTTATTTGTCACACGACGCCCTCTAGATCTATAGACGCGCATATTCCTTTCTCGTCAGTTCTTTACAGGGGTGGCTAAATAGAAACGTGGATTTTACTGTACCATTGTGCAGTGTATGTGTCAAAAAAAAAAAGCGTGACACTTCTGAATTAGAACGAAAAAGAAAAAAAAAGAAAAAGAGGCGCACATCATTAACGTTTACGGTTGTCAAGGTTTGGAAAATATTTTCCATCTCAAGTTCTTTTTTGACGAAAAATCTATCTATCTATCTATCTATC